TTTCCTGCTGAGAGTTTCGAAAAAGGGACTTTGGAAGGTAATAATCAGTATAGAGAAGGTGTGTATGATAGAAGAGAATGTCAAAGTAGCGTATATTAGCACGAAGCCTAATAGTTTTACAGGAGGAGGAAGTGTATCTTGCAACCTTTTGAGCTGGTTCTCTTTTTCCTACCCAAGTTATGACTAAAAAGATCAAAAAAAAGTCTTATTTTTAGTAAACAAAGTTATTTTGCTATTTGGAATAGATGTAAGAACTATGATTAGTTGAAAGTATAGTGTTACGAGATCTTGTTTCAAATACTATTAGTGGAATTGTATTGTTTATTAGAGCATCTCCAATGGTACACCAAATCTTACACCAAACTTATTTTTTTGGTATAAAATTTTCTCCAATCAAATACTATTTTCAACACCAAAATGGTGTAAATTTTTTTATTTATAAAACAAATCTTTTAAATTTTAATCAACTTTAAAATTAATAAAAAATATATACAAATAATGATAGTTAAACCCAAATAATATGTTTGATAATAATTAAACAAAAGCTTAATATATTTTGTTATTTATATATGTTACAATGTATTTCTTTTATATAATAAATGTTAAATTTAATTTATTTCATAAATTTTTAAACTTAAAAAAATAAATGGAGTTGATTTGTAAATTTTAAAAAATTAAAAAAAGAATCTATTAAAAATATTTTATTTGATATAAAAATTAGTGTAAACCATTGAAGCAAAACTCAATACTATTTTGGTATTACTCTATTTTTGGAATAAAAAATAGTGTAAATTATTGGAGATGATGTTAGTATATTAATCCCAACTCCAAATAAATCGAGAGGACTCTAGTGTCTCATTTTTGTAAATCTTTCTTTAACTTTTAGCTACAAATATATTTATCTATCTTGGTCGTGTTCAAGTGTCGATCTATATACTTTTGTCTTATTAATATCTAATACTCCTAAGACACATGTGTAATTGTGTACACTATTCATCTTTAGACTTTTTTAGTCACTTATACATCTTTAGTTTGACTTTTTACGACGAAATAATTGACATGTAGCATTGTATTATATTGTGTGATCTGAAACCATCTCACTTTCCATGGATTCTATTAGATATGTAAATGAAAATCGCTTTCCTTCATGTAATCAAATCGTACACACAATAAAAACTTAGCATATTTCATTTCTAGGATTTTCATATGTATTTTGAGAATAAAAAATAGCATAAATACCAAAATATACTAATTAAGGCCAGGTATTTTATGGCGTCTCCAATCCTACACCAAATCTATTTTTGGTATAAAAGCTTTTGCAACTTAACACCATTTCTAACACCATTTTGGTGTTAAACTTTTTTATTTATAAAAAATTCTTTCAAATTTTAATCAAATTTAAAATTAATGAAAAACATATACAAATTGTGATGGTTAAACCTAAAATCTAATATGTTTGATAATAATTAAACAAAAACTTAGTAGATTTTGTTATTTTATAGGTTATAATATATTTCTTTTATATAATAAATGTTAAATTTAAATTATTTCATAATTTTTTAAACTTAAAAAAATAAGTGGGGTTGATTTGTAAATTTTAAAGAACTGAAAAAGAGAATAGTTACTTAAAATTAGAAAATTAAAATAAAAAAATGAGAAAAAAGATTGAGAAGAGTTTTTGAAACAAGAGATTCCGAGAGAAGTATCAGAAATTATTTAATTATATAATAAACTAGTTAAATACTTTTTAAAGAACTTCTACCGATAAAACTGCTCTAACAAACTATACATAAAATACCAAACAAAATATTATCAAATTTTATCCCGACCGAGCTCTTTAGCAATAACCTACCATGTAATTTGTAGTGACATATATTAGTTTAGACATACGTATATATCTTTAACAAACAAACTTACATAAACATTACAATTTTACACATTACAATATAATATAATTATTTTATCGCAAATCTTTGTGATTTGATAAACTTATAAATCTTTAATTAAAAAACCAAAAAAACATCACTAAAAAATTATTTATCTTTTATGAAATCATTTAAAATTTGAATGACTATTTTATAAATTAAAATGTTCAACTCTAAAATAGAGGAGAAAATGGATTTACACCATATTGGAGTGAGATTTAGAGTAAGAATGGAGAGAATTTTACTCTAAAATAATATTTGAAGTGAAATTTAGAGTGGAGTTTGAAATACCCTTGCAAACGATGAAAAACGTAAAATGGTTGTCCAAACTTTTGATCTCGGGATATGTACAATGTTATAGTACGAATTTCATATTTTTCAAGCAGTGAGAAAATTAATACAACAAAAGAATATGTTTAAAATTTGAGATAAAAATAATGGTTTTGCATGATACAAGTGTTTTCTATACGGTCCACGAACATTATTATTGATGAGGAAAAATACACTTAATTTCATCCGTTGATTCTCCGAAGATATCTATAGTTCCTTTTAAAATCATCTATAAACCATGCAACAAACAATTAGCAGGTTTTAGAAATTCCATAAATGTTACGCTTAAAGAAAAAAAAAATTGAACCATTATCCGGAGAAAGATTTAACAACACCAACGTCCGGTAATTGAATATCATCCAAACGAAACAAAAGAAAACTTTCTCGCCTAACGAATATTTAGACCATCTCTAATATACATTTCTATTTTTATTTCTAAAATAAAAAAATTTATAACATTTTTCTAATTCTTCTCCAATATATCTCTATATTAAAAGAATTGCTATAACATAGAAGAAAAAATAACAATTTTTTACTTTTATCTATATATATATAGAAGAATACTATAATTTTTCTATTTTAAAGATAGAAATAGAGATGGATTGGAATAAATTTTATTCTGAATTAGAATTTAAAGAAAAAATAGAGATGCCCTCCAAATTATCTTCGAGAATGAAATCTTGTAAGAAACAAAAAGTATTATAAATGAAGAAAAAAAAAGTGAGAAGGAAAAGTGAAAAGCATGATTTGGTGCTTTTGCGTCTGAAATTTTTGACCGCTCGGCACGCGTGAAGTGGACGGCAAATCAATCGTTGAGTAAGTTAGCGTAATATTGCCACGTGTATATTTTTTATATTAGAACTGATATTGGACCGACACGGCGCCGTTTCTACGCTTCACAGTTCACATCCTCTCTCTCCTGCCAAGGTA